AATTTTGATTAGGCCAAATAAAAAATAACATGTTTAGCGTCCTGCCTTTTTGAAAAAAGGAGGCCCTTCCAAAATGGCCGCCCGACTGGGCTATTTTGCAAGATGGCCGCCAGATTTTTTTTAAATAGCCGCGACTTGGAATCAGGAATGACATACCAGCTTGATATGGGCTAGATGCAACAGACAAAGAGGCCAGAATGATGTCACTTTTTAAAATTTATATTTGTTCGTGTTTAAAAAAAATAAAAATAAAGAAAAATAACAGGCGGCCTCCAAAAAGGAAGCGGGCGGGGACGTTAAACATGTTTTTTTTTTATTTGGCCTTACATCCGACTGGGCTCCCAGAGTTAGAAATGTTGTTTATAATTCCTCCAAAAATCACTCACAAACAGTATTGTTCACGTTATAAAAAACAAGGTGGTACATAGTTTATTTGTCATGATTATAAACATAATTTCTTATAAAACCCCGTGCCGTGCAAAAATACAAATTCATCTATTCACAAAATAAAACTTTTTTTGGCACTATGGTTAAAATTGGATACAAGTAAATCCACAAGACAGCTGTTTCCGAGTGACTGCCAGATATATCATTGCATTCACAAAAAGAAACTGACTTTTTAAAAACAATTTTCTGAAGTGCGTAAAGCCGGTTCTTTTGTGTTCGCTCCTATGGCATTTGAGTTCCAGTAGCAATTGGTGAAGACTTAAAAGCGGGAATGTACAGTGCTGCGCTTCACCGCAACAAAATACGCTTGTCGAATTCCAAGTTCCAGTCTTTTGAAACAATAACTGGTAACAGCTCATTTTGGCAGAACGTTTGATCAACAGCCCCCCCCCCCTAAAAAATATAAACAACACTGTTTAAAAACATCGAAGTATGACTTACAAAAATACACTATATCAGGCCGAGTAAAAAGAATCCAAACCCCAAAAATATGTTTCATAATATATTGAGCAATTTCAGTATTTTTTTCATCTGAAAGTATTTTTTTTTAATCTAAAAGTAGCTTATGAAATTGGCTTTTCAGTCATTATTATTTTTGGTGCTACTTTTTTTTTTTAAATATGAAATATAATTTTGGGGGTTTTGGTTCCGCTTTTTTGTTTGACTCACCCTGTATAATAAATAAAGAGTTTCATTACACGTATATTCAAAGGACCGAGTATGTTTTTCTCTCCATTTTCGGAGATTTCGGATACCTATGTTTTTCAAAATATTTAGAAGATAAGGAAAAATCTTCAAAAAAATTCCTGAGATCAAAATTGAGGATATTATCGCTTACAGTTAAGGCCACACAATACGGATTTGAGAAATTAATAATGAAACCTTTCTAAATTAATTGCTTGGTTAACTGTACCCATTTTTATGCAGGGAAAGTATGATGTAATGCAAGTGATACTGAAAATAGATTTGATATTTTGACTGTACTACATTGTATCACAGTGGTGTGCTGGAATAACCATGGTCTATTTTACTCAGTGCACAAAGTAAGTGACCCCGATGACTTAAAGGAAACATGCAATAAGGTTTTTATGACTCGAATACATTTAAAACAGCTTTCTTGCTATGTAACTATGACTTTCCACCTCCTTTGTAGCAGTAAAAGGGAGAAATTTCAACATTTTAGTTTTCATGCTAATGAAAATTTCCATATTCATGAGCCAAATCGTGATGTCATTCAAGGCAGAACAGTAGTGTCTCCATAGCTTTGCGTATACATGTACATGTATATTAAACTTTTCTTCATTTTCTTGGAGTAAGTTCCACTTTTTACTTGTTTATCATGTTGAACAGCTTGTTTGGAAAATTATAGTAGTGGTAGTGGCCAATATTTCTTTAAAAAACTTTTTTCTGTGGGAATTTTGAAGGACTAATTGTTGTACTGTTCATATGCACTTTTGACAAGGAGTACCTTGTGTGACAAAAGCAAGATAGCGCCCTCCTACATCATGAAAGGATTTGCTAATAATTGATAAACTACCATTTTCTTGTCACTTTCAATGCAAACAAGTCATGCAAGTAGGCCTATTAAGATCTTGTTGTATGTATTGTTGCAACACATTCTAATGTGCATGAAAACGGTTACGTTTTGATAGTCCGAAGTCCCATTGGTCCGACGTCCCATTGGTCCGACGAAACGCAATACTGTGTATACATGTACATGTATTTCCACTGGTTTGGGTTGACTGGCCCTAACCCTAATCCTATCCTATTGGGCTTCGGACCCATGGGAAGTCGGACCAATGGGACGTCGGACCAATGGGACGTCGGACTAACTGGACTTCGGACCAAAGGGACTTCGGACCAATGGGACGTTTTTACCAATGTAACGTATAGAGTAATGGGCCATTGGACCAATGGTACTTCGGACCAATGGGACGTCGGACCAATGGGACGTCAGACCAATTGTACTTCGGACTATAGAGGCGTTCCCGATGAAAACATGAGGAGCTGAATTTACACTGCGTGTTTCCTTTAAGTTCTTGACACAAATACTATGCTTATGTACTGTATTTAAAAAAAACTGAAACCACTGACAAATGCTTCATCATATTCAATACTTGTGAAAGCCTCATTATCAGGATGAATAATTATACAATGTAGTATTCCATCGGGGTAGCACATTGTTATCAGCACTTGCTTTTTGGTAAGGTTTGTTGTTAAACACCCCTCCTATTTGAAATTATCCTGACAACGCTCATCGAAATGTACTGTAGTCCAATAATTTGCATGAAATCATAACTACATTTGTAAATCTTACAGCGCCACCACATGTTCTACGCTATAGGTAAATGTTTCACTATAGGTAAATGTTTCACTACAAAAATACTTAAAATACGAATAATGCTGCTTTAATCGGATTAAATACAGAATAACAGGCGGGACTCCTTCTTAACAGTTTATCACAACCCATATTTGCAAAAAGAGTACAACAATATACACCAGACTATCTATCTGCAGGATTTTTTTCAAATTCTAAAACTACGGTGCTCCTAAAAATAATCACATTCACTTTATTCAATATAAAAATATCTCGAAAGTGGACAAACCCTTCTGAAAATTTGGACCTCATGATAATTTTAAAACTGCTTACTACACATAAAAAACTGTATCTATTGACTTTGTACATCTGTCAATCGTTTCTGGTTAAAACATATCCACTACAAAAATACCACTACAAAAATAAATCTGCTTTGGTCCTGAAAAATAGTTAACAGCTCTATGGTATGTTGAATACAAAGTCAGCTGCATCTGTCCTATGAATGGAATATTTGAGACTTAGCCCAGGAAGGCACAGGGTGGAATTTATTTTTGAAATTTGCTAATTCGTTCGCACGAATTGCTAACTCATTCGCACGAATTGCTATTTTGTTCCCATGAATTGCTATTTCATTCGCACGAATTGCTATTTCGTTCCCACGAATTGCTATTTCATTCCCACGAATTGCTATTTCGTTCGCACGATTTCCTAATTCGTGGGAACGAATTGCTAACTCGTGCATCCGGGAACCCGTTAGTAATTCGTGGGAACGAGTTGGTAATTCATGGGAACGAATTAGCAATTCATGGGAACGAATTAGAAATTCGTGGGAACGAAATAGCAATTCGTACGAACGGAATAGCAATTCGTGCGAACGAGTTAGCAATTCGTGCGCACGAATTGGCAATTTGTGCGAACGAATTAGTAATTCGTGGGAACGAATTAGTAATTCGTGGGAACGAATTAGCAAATAACAAAACAAAATTCCACCCTGTCCCTTCCCGGGCTTCATACTAAAGAAAGAGGGGTACACTGAACAACCAGAGATGTTAATGCAATGTTTTGCTATGACTACCACCATGCTGATGGTCACCAGTATGGAAGCCAAATTTGCCTTCCATAGATTATCACTTCATTCGACAATCTCATCATTCTATTTGTCAAACTCATCATTCCATTAGGCAAATTTATCACTCTCCTCGGCGAAATTTCATTTGGCAATTTTATCATTCCGTTCTGTGAACTCCCCATTTCATTCGGCAAAATGAGTATTTCATTTGGCAAAATTATAATTTTATTCTCAAAAATCATGTTTGTTTGGCGAGTTCACCATTTCATTCGGCGAATTTATCAGGATGTGTTCGCCGAATGAAATAACAAAATTGCCAAAAGGGAATGACCACTTGGCGGAACGAAATGATACAGTCGGCGAATGAAAAGCCATATCTGCCTTCCATAGATTATCACCCCATTCGGCAGACTAATCATTCCATTCGGCAAACTCACCATTCTATTCAGCAAATTTGTCACTCCCTGTTATTTCATTTCGCAATTTATCATTCCGTTCTGCGAATTCCCCATTTCATTTGGCAAAATCAGTATTTTCATTTGGCAAAATTATAATTTTATTCTGCGAAATCAGGTTTGTTTGGCGAGTTCACCATTTTATTCGGCGAGTTGATCAGGATGTGTTCGCCGAATGAGATAATGAAATTGCAGAAAGGGAATGACGACTTCGCTGAATGGAATGATAAAGTCGGAAAATTAAAAGGTGTATTTGCAGAACGCAATTATGAATTCCTAGAGTGGGGCCATACACTAATTGAAGAAAGGAATGATACAATTGCCGAAAAGAATGATGAATTTGCAGAATAAAATTCGTTATCGCGCTCGCGCTCGTGGAACATGGAAAATGAAGTGCGTTTGTGTCCCACATACCACTCGGCCTTCGGCCTCGTGGTTTGTGGGACACAGACGCACTACATTATTCCGTGTTCCACTCGCGCTCGCAAGATAACTAATATTAGGCTACATTATGATTATTAGTAATTTTATCATAATTAGGCTGGAAATGAAAACAACAAACACAATATCTCTGTTAAGAGCGCAGGCATGCAACTGGGAATGTAGCAATAAAAAGAAGAAATTTCAAACCACACAAGACTGTGTACAGTGTTTTTCAATTGATGTGGCATTCATGAGAAGTAAACAACGAAAAAAATCAGCAGATCCGAAAAGTTGCATGCCTGCTAGCTATTGCACCCAAGGAATGAGGTTGGATCCAGGTGGATTAATGTGAGGGCGAGCAAATCCTCATTTTCTTTTGCCGGAGCTCTGCATAAATTGTTTGTTTCACCCTTTGCCCACCACCGAATAATAAGAATGATAAACTGCCACTGATCACCCAACTCACTGCCTAGGCAGCCAATTTAGATAATCCAGGAATTCAGAGAAGGACACCGTGCCGTCCCCGCCCTTGTCGATGGCCTTGAGGTGGGCATCCAGGTGCTCCCGCTTGGCCCCGAAGGACATCAGGACCTCGTCCATCTCGGCTTTCTCCAGCACCCCGCTGCCGTCCTTGTCGAACTTCTTGAACAACTCAATGGCCTTGCGGACGAGGAAGAAGCGGGACGAGTCGTCGATCATGGAGAAGCGCTCCCCGCTCTTGATCCAGTCGTAGAACTCCTGGAAACTGATCTTCTGGTTGCCGTCCTTGTCACCCAGCATGATGAAGGCCTCGGCCTGGTTCTTGTTCATGCCTAAGTCGTTTTGCGCCATCATCTTCAGCTCTTCGCTGTTAAGCGAGCCGCTGCCGTCTTTGTCATATTTTGAGAAGAGGCTCTTCAGCACTATTTCTGGCACATCGCTGTTGAAAAAACTCATCTTGGACTACTGTGACAAGTAATAAAAACAAGAATTTGAGTTAATGATGCTAGTAAACAATTGGCAACTGTTATCAACCCTGCATCCATTTTCTTTTACTTCTACGCACCAAAATAACTTCATGTAGCAGAACAACCTCAAGACGTGCTTGAAGTGGCCCTCACATGTTTACAATGCACATCTTTCCGAAAGAAGAAAAACACTACCAACAAGGTGATTTGGTAAAACGTCGCTGATTCGTTGATGAAAAACTCCATTTAGAAGCCAACTTCTGGACTTGGTTAAGTTGAGGACAACACCACAATTTTGAATAACTGCAGGATAAATGGGGTAAAAGTGACGGCGATGAAAATGAAAATGCTGAAAACAAACTTGGCACTAGTGTCCAAGCAGGTTTGGTAGACCGTCTGTGATTGGTTGATGTACCAGTGCAGCTTGTTTCCCTACCAGCTACTCTAGTCTGGTTCCACATTAAAAATACATGTACTGTTCAGCAGGGTGACTGTAAGGTCATGGCCAAATTCTGCTAAATGCACCTCAAAATCTGTCAGATTTATCAAAAATCTACCAAATTTCCCCAAATTACTTGAAATACACTATAACCACTTAAAATCACGTGCAGATGTTGCAATTTTGCCTTAACCCTTACTCTCTGAGGGTAGTTTACTGCATGTCAGTTGGTTATGCCAATGCCCTCCAGCTGCAATTTATCGGAGGATACTTTGATGTAGCAGTGAAGGCTCCAATTGGCAGGAGTTGGAGGCCCTGGAGGGTGCCTGATACTGACCAGCTGGGGGCACTCACTTTGTTATCAGAGGACTCTCATTGTTCTCTGTGGCATGTATTGGAATGCCTGTCCAGTTACCCTTGAAATGATATGGCAGATATTGGAGGGCCATGCAAAAAACATAGGAGATTTTCTTGAGGCACAATTGGCATGCGTTGGAGGGTCTAGTAGGGTAAGGGTTAATTAAGGTTCAAATTACATTATAAACAATCTATATTCACATAAAAATGTTATGAAATTGCTTCAATGTCAGGGGAAACGAGGTTGCGTCACGTCGAAGTCTGGTTCCCAGTGAGCCTCAGCACCTAGATTAGCCAACCTGTCCCATTATGCAAGGGTTTGTTCTTCACACAAATGTACCTTTTTTTTAAATGCTATGTTTTTTTTCTGTCAAATAACCAATTTTGCATAATTCTGCCAGAAATCTGCCAAAAAAAAAATCGATTCTGTCAAATTTTCTGTCAAACTCATTTTTTAACCAAAAATGTGTCAAAGTTGGCTGAAAATTGGCTAAAAATGGTCATCCTGCTGTTCAGAATCTTTTGGTATGGGAACCAGACTAGCTTCCATACCGAGCGGTGCAGTAGGTGTGTCGATGAATGTCAGACAACTCGACCGTTGAGACAAATCGACTCAAGACAGCTCGACCGTTGAGACAACTCGATCGTTGAGACAACTCGACCGTTGGTACAACTTGACCGTTGAGACAAGTCTACCGTTGAGACAACTTGACCGTTGAGACAAGTCGACTCGGGACAACTCGACCGTTTAGACACAAATATTATCCAAAACCTACCCGATCTCGTATGTCCGCCCATCCCATGTGCCAAAGAATGGGATAGTGCCATCATTTTCCTAGACTAAAATAAGCTAAACCCCGTCCAGCTACACCAGCCCCATTAACCCGGCCCGATCCGACCGAGCCAAGCGGCAGGCTTTCCTCTAACCCGTACCCCACCACGAGCGGCTGGACATGGCAACAAATTCCCCACAGCAAACAAAACCAAAAAAACTTGGCGTCTCCCCATCCCGTACCTAGTCCGAGTAACTTGGACCCAACTTATCGCCTTTTTTAACATTTGGACCTGGTCTGGCGATAGTAAGGTCCAAGCTAATACTGCGAGCTGGACAACACCGTCCCAAAAACCAACATTTTCCAACAAAAAACATCAGATTTCACCTTCAAAATGGCCTCCAAATTACTAGATATGCCACCTGAGGTAAAAGTAGACATCGATGATTAAGATGGTTGTACTGAAAATAACTTACGATCCGGAAAAAAGTGAAATTTTCCGTTCATTTCGGAGAGCTCCCCTCGCGATCTTGAACACGTTAAATTTCCGATCGTGTTTAATGTTTGAACGACGCGATTTCTTCTTCATGCCCAGCGTACATTCGATGGTCCCCGTATCCCGAGTGCGATTCCGTTACCGAGCGCGCGTAGTAGACTGGATCACGCTTGTAAACACACGTGCATTTCAAACGATAATAGGGAGTCGGGAACTAGAGCAGCTTTTATGGCGGATACCAGCTCAAGCTGGTTCCCGATTCCCTTTTACAGTTAGAAATGCACATGTATGTGTTTACAAACGTGACTCATTATCATAATCGATGCATCGCGCGCGCTCGGTAACGAAATCGCACTCGGGATATGGGTACCATCGAATGTACGCTGGGCATGAAGAAGAAATCGCGTCGTTCAAACATTAAACACGATCGGAAATTTAACGTGTTCAAGATCGCGAGGGGAGCTCTCCAAAATGAACGGAAAATTTCACTTTTTCCGGATCGTAAGTAAACTTCAGTACAACCATCTTAATCATCGATGTCTACTTGTACCTCAGGTGGCATATCTAGTAATTTGGAGGCCGTTTTGAAGGTGAAATCTGATGTTTTTTGTTGGAAAATGTTGGTTTTTGGGACGGTGTTGTCCAGCTCGCAGTATTAGCTTGGACATTACTATCGCCAGACCATGTCCAAATGTTAAAAAAGGCGATAAGTTGGGTCCAAGTTACTCGGACTAATCCCGTACCCAACTGCCAAATGCTTGCTCTCTCAGCTTAGAAAAACCCCAGTATAAATAGGAGCCCCGGCCAAACCCACTTTTATCCTGTTAAGCAACCCCAACCCAATAATCAAATCCGAACACGACAAAAAATCCCCCCTAGGGCCTACCAATATGAATATTCCCCGAAAAATTACGAGTAGACTTGTCTCAACAGGCGGCTTGTCTCAACGGCGACAAGTCTTTCCATTTAACGCACATACGGTCGACTTGTCCCAACGGTTGAGATATGTCTCAACAGTCGAGCTGTCCCGGGCCGAGTCGAGTTGTCTCAACGGTCGAGTTGTCTGCCCCACGTGTCGCATATAGGCTATGCTTGCTTCAGGTTAACAAGAAAGTAGACCCGTGAACGTGGCGTTGTATACAACGCCACGTTCTTGTTTCATTTCGAACCTGGCGAAATCGATCCGACATACATAATTCCGTATGGGTGTTGAGTACTCACCTAGAAATCTAAATTTGCCCGTCCGATTGTTTCGGCTGTGTTATTTCGACGAAATTTGCCCATCAGTAAAGACCCATACGAACGTGTAGAAATGAGATTTTAACCTGACCTTGACAAATAACCCCGGACGCGTCTGAGTCGCTTGGACAGATTGACGGCTGTTTCATGTCGCAACCCCGAAAAAAACCCCCCCGCAGACGATTGGCTGCTCGGCTCATCTCGTGTACAGTGCGTGTGTGCACACACACGCGGGCGCACGTGCGACCGCGTGCGGTGCGGTGAGAGAGGAAAGGACTTGAAACTTGTCTAAAACGAATGTCTGTTTTAGCTGCGACAGTAAACAGCCGTAAAATCATACAAAAATAAAACGCAATGCGCATGCGTCAGTTGGGAGAAAATGGCAGCTAGCAGTAGCGGACGGACTTCATGAACCGGGGCCAGAATTTCCCTCAATTTTTGTAAAATGCAAGTTTTGACGTACAAATAGAATTCAAGACAGCTTCATATGTGACTACTTATTACATGGGCAAAAAAACGTCCAGTGTGTGTAACGGAGGGAGTCAGAGGGACACGTTCGCCAGGTTCGAAAATAGACAACAGCGTGGCGTAGTTTACAAGCCACGTTCACAGGTCTAACAAGAAAGCAGATTTTTGTTTCAATTTATTGTTCTCAATTTGGAAAGATTCCCAATCCATATCTGACCATCACTAATTTTTCCCTTCAGTGACCTATCAGTTATAATTATATCACTATCAGCCATCAGAAAGTGATAATATGTCCAAAAACATGTGTAAAAAGTCAAACTGAGTGGGGAAAATATCGAAGTATTTAGGCCTCTATCTACTGAGAAAACACTTCGATTTTTTCGAAATGTTCAGACCAGTTTCAGCATGTTCAGTGTTAGCTTGAGTAACTCCAGCTGACATAGTGAGATGCTCATATTCATTCACATGTACATGTAGCACTGGAGGCATAGGTAACTAGTTCGTTAGAACAGGTTACGTGGAGTATTTAGGAGAAGAACCAACCAAGAACCAAGAATGTGGTAGCAAGAGTCACTCTGTCCATGGAGCAAGGAAAGTAGTGAGAGTGAGACCCTAAACAAATGGCCTCTCAAAAATTGTTCATTTTCACCTCTAATATCCCACCCCAGAGTTCATCTACATACCTCATACATTCAGCAGTCATTTACGAAGCCTAATGATCGACTTGAAACAGACCACAAAAAAAAAATGTGAAAAATCTTGACGATTTCGGTGGCTTGTCCGTAAAAAACGCCAGTTCCAACGGCTGTCGTCCATTTTATTTTGCTAATTATGTAAATGCATGCATCACGTGATGACATCGAAAAAAATCGCGCGCGCGATGTATGTGAGTACCACACCGCTTTCAGGCGCCGCAAGTGAGTTCAATTTTCGTCTGGTGCGTTGTCGTGGAGAGCATTCTCGTTGTCTCGCTTTTCGCGACAACGCACCAGACGAAAATTGAACTCACTTGCGGCGCCTGAAAGCGGTGTGGTACCCACATGCATCGCACGCGCAGATTTTTTTCGATATCATCACGTGATGCGAACATTTACATAATTGGCAAAATAAAATGGACGACAACCGTTGGAACTGGCGTTTGTTTACGGACAAGCCACCGAAATCGTCAAGTTTTTCACATGTTTTGTGTGTGGTCTGTTTCAAGTCGATCATTAGGCTTCATAAATGACTGCTGAAATTGTATGAGGTACATAAATGAAATCTGGGGTGGGATATTAGAGGTGAAAATGAACAATTTTTGAGAGGCCATTTGTTAGGGTCTCTTGCTACTACATTCTAACGAACAGGTTATGCCTCCAGCGCTACATGTGAATCAATATGGAGCATGTCACTCAGCTGGAGTTAATAGAAATAATACTCGAGCTATTTCAGCTGTTCAGTGTGCACAGGCTGGATGACAAGTGATGGACAGAAATGGGAATAACAAAAAAACCGGAGGTGTCCTCAACTACACGAACTCCCAAATAAGCTGATTATCAACTTACCGTAAGTTTAGTTCGCTGACAGTGACAGAACTGAAAATCGTGAAAGATGTATTGAAACTCAAAGAAAAACAGCGGAGTGCACAACCAGGAAGTAAAGAACAGAGGAGTTAACCGCTTGAATAGCGCCCTCAATCACTTAAAATAATTGAAGCCTGTTTGGAAACTTGGGTTGCGTTTCAGTAACTCGTTTTACAACTGCTGCAAACTGTTCATTGACTGCATGGATTGACCTGAAATTTAATACAAATCAAACAGTTATTAGAGAGGCCTGATATATTTCCTATAGAGCAAAGACTTCTTCAGAGGCTTAAGACACAGGGACAAGAAACAAACATGCATAAAAGGGACATGCAGGCAGGCAGGGTTGGAAGGAGAAACACAAAGGAGGGATGGGGGGGATTCAGGGAACAAATTAAGGAGTACATGTACATGTTGTGGGGATGGGAAACAAAAGGGGGTTGGGGGAGGGAAAGATGCTGGGGGGGGGGGGACAAAGGAGAGTGGTGATGAATGTAACAGGGTAAAGAAGAAGAAAGCTAGGGGGCAAGGACGGTGTCAGTGTAACTAGATGAAGGGGTTGCGGGGGGGGGGCGGGGAAGGATGAGTGAAAACCACAGAGTAAGATGGATTTGAAACAAATTCTACTTGGAGAGAAAGAAACATCAATCGTTGCCTTGTTGGATGTCGAGACCAAGGGCGGTTCCATAACAATTTGTTGGCGGGGGGGGGGGGGGGGGGGGGGGGGGGGCAAAAAATGTGTCCCCCAAAAAGTGGATCCAAAAAAATGCGTGGCCCTTATGCGGGCCCTGATTTTTTTTCTAGGTGCTCTGTGGTGCCATCAGCACCAGTAATGAAAATATTTACTGAAAAATATCTTTCCAAAAAATCAGCCAGGGAGGACGAAGGGGGGGGGGGAGGGGGGATTTTCAAGGCACATTCAATGGCTTTGGTGCTTGCTTTCCTTTCAAGTTGTTTCTTATGTAAGCACCATTTATGAGAATAGTTACTGAAAAAAATATCTTTCCCAAAAATCGGCCAGGGAGGACAAGGTGCGCACCCTGCCCCTTCCGGATACGACTCTATGATGACTGTAGGCCTATACCCTGTAAAGTACGTCACATTGGAAATCGAATGGTTCGGGAGGTTGAAGTGGTAGCCAATTAATTGTTGTCCATTCTCTAGGTGTTGACAGTTGATGAATGATCACAGAACAAGGGCGGACCCAGAACACATTTTTGGGGGGCCACAAATTGTTGGTCCCACAAAAAGTGGGTCCAAAAAGTTACAGCGTGGTGTTCGTGGCCTGCTTATAGGGACCGACATTTTTTTGAATTCTAGATGCTCCTGTGCGATCTGAGGCAGTTTCTGACCACTGTTACCAATTTTGTTTTTCGGAAAAGATGGTATAGTGTATACACGTGAATGCAGTGCCGGCATTTATTGCGAAGTCACTTTAACAAAATGAGTTGGGTTCCTTTTTTATTTGGGGGGGGGGGGATCCGCCCTTGCCATAAAAACGCTTTTTTAAGCGTGTTCTTAGTCTACCCAACACACTGTGCTCCACAAAACTTGCTAGAGATGAGATTTAGATTGGTTGTAGGTGATATTTTGTCATAAACTTTGTACGTGTTGTGTGAGTGTCCCCTTTTTCTGCGAAATACAACGCTACAATACAAGTGTTTGGATTGCCCGGCGGTTGCCTGTTGCTGGCATGACGTCACAAGGTACATGGCCTATAGGCAACCACTATCGTATGTTTGAAGAATAGAACAAAAAATAAGGAATTTCGGTATCTTTAACAATTTGTATGTCAATACAACTGAATTATACACTGCAAAAACTGCAGTGTTAAATGTACACTGTTGGTATCTATATAGGACCATCTGGTGTTAAATGTCACTGGTGTTGTCTTATATAGATACCGAATTGTGTTAAATTAACACTACAGTTTTTGCAGTGTAAAAGAATGAAAGTAACACCTTATTGTCGACTATTTAAAACAAAGCACAGCGAATAATGCCTACGTTGAGTATAACAGGTAATAACTTCTGCTGTATATGACAAATTTCTTCACAATATTCCATCGTTATGAGAGTGCCAACCAGCCAATGTGCTATCCAAATTGTTAACATGGAGATCAGTGTGGGACTTATGAATGCGGTGTATGTTAATTAGCAATGAGCCCCACCATGCAACGAGCCCATTGGGTCATGGGTACAAAATCCCTTGGGATTGGGAGGAGATTTCCCCACCATAAAGAGGATTGAATCGAACCCCCTCCTCAAGTTTTGGTGGTGTGAATATATTAGGCCCCCAAAAATAGTCGGTCTCTGGTCACACCGAAGTTCCAGAATTGATGAGGCGACGCGATTTTTTTTTTTAAGCTTGAATTGTACAGACAAGGTGGGTACTATTTTGCTTTTTTGTGTCCTCTTATACATTGCTGTTCTCCATAATTTGCCTTGGTGCCCTCCATTATTTTCATTGACGCAATTTTCCTATTCCTTGGTGCTCCTTGGTAAAAAAAAAATGAGGAGATGCGGCAATAGAGGGCGCTGTTGTAGCTTCCGTGTTAAAAAAAAGGTTGACGGGCATGATTAAAATTGACGCGCCCGCTGACCACAGACCGACTATGTTTTTTGGTTTATGCTGAATTTGAGGCTATTGATTTTTGTCCATTGTGCATGCACACGATGGGGGGGGGGGGGGGGGGGGGGGGGGGGGGGGGGGGGGAGGGATGGATGTTACAGTAGGGGCACCCAATTTTTACTGTAAACGTGGTGACTAGCTAACACGACCCAAAACATCCAGCGGGGGCGATTGGGAGGTGACAATTATTTTTTTTTAACAAGCAATGATTTATCAATGGGCAAATATGTTGTCATAGCAACCAATCAAATTCGTCTGGAAACGCCCGTGATCCCCCCCCTCCCCCCCCCCCCCCCACACACACACACGTCAGTAGCAAGTGTGTATTTTGTCTGCAATCGGGGACTCCCTACTTTCCCTCTTTTATTTGTACTTTTTAGGAAGACCTCCCATATTTGTACACGAATCCAAATTGGGGACCTCTCGGGGATTGGGGACCCTATTGTCCTCTATTAATGCCCCTGTTACATGCAGAAACAAACTCACACGCACTACCCCTCCCCAACACAAACTTGAAACATGGATACGCTGCAGTGAACGCCCCTGTCATGACAATAAACTTTTGGTTTGACAGAGGTATGAAGAATATACGTGGTATGCCAAAATTAGTTTAATGTTTATGCCAATACATGTAGTCTGCAAACAATACCAAGAAAGCACAGCACAACATTTTCTAGAAGGTAGCTATTTTTAATAAAATATATGCATATTTTTTTAATTAGAAGACTGCCATAATATGTGGAACCGTCAGATAGACTGGTCAGGACGGAAGCCGAAATATTGAGAATATGGACAAAAAATCTTCGTAGAAAACGTCGGATACCAAGTTAAAACAGTATGTTGAGTTATCTAATGATAAACATCTAAAATTATATAGCGCTAAAATCCGTGAAAATGACGCTCAAATCGCTTCACACTGAATTCGCTCGTACCCCCCCCCCCCGACTCTGGGATCGGCTGATTAATTCACGCTTTAATTGGATAGATTATACGTGACCTGTGACCTGCAAGTCATCACTGCCACGATCCGACCCTGCAAGGAATTAAACGGCCGTTAAGACTGAGTCATCACTCTTTTATTCCCATTAATTAATGCTTTTTTTCGTTGAAAAGCGTAATAATGTAGGGAAATCTGTAAAATCTGTTTTGCACATTTTCAATTCCTGTCACTTGCTCAGACTCCGTTTCGAATTCACAAAGGGTCAATGATTTCATAATATGACGCTCAAATTTGTCCACATGGTCCGCAATAAAAAAGAAATCACATGCAGTATTGAATGTGTACATTTCTATGAGAAAGTTTTCGGATAGCATTTTCGCGCATTGGCTAACTGCGGTCTTAAACAGCTGCAGCCAGATGTCTATATACATAGGTCATGATACATTACCCAGACAATCCCACTTCCTTCAAAAGATTCTGTGAAACTCATCAGCGTTTCCCAGCGCCCTGTTTGCAGGGCGGGGTTACGAGCAAACACTGAATAACCATTTTTAATTAATCATAATAATTTTAATAATACATTTTAATTGTTATAATAAAAAAACCATTCCGTTTACATTAAAAAGGAAGAAAATTAAGCATAATTTGATACATAAACAGCATGATAGCGTTATAATAGGAGATAAAAGTATTGCAGAATCATAATAACCGAAAAAAATCAACTCGAAATCAACTGCTAAAACTAAATTAATGAACCAAAAGATTAAAAAATATAATTTTTAAGGCAAAACCACTAACCCAGATAGATTGACGCAAACAATCGAACAATAACAAATATAAACAACTAACACACAAGAGACAAAACAGACAGCCAGACCAACAAACTAACCATAACCGTGTTATGTATGCCAAAACTCGGAGACAAGACATCAACCAAAAGCCCAACAAATAAGCAAACATCAACAACAACAACAGCAGCAAAAACCCAACAACAACGTCAACAACGACAACAACTACAACAACGACAACACCAACAACAAAGAAACAAACAGACAAACAAACAACATTTAATCAACCTAACAACCCAGCATACAAAAACAAATGCACAATGGACAAAGTTACAAACAATCGACGGAAACCGCCCAACCAACAGACAAATTAAAATAGCAACAGGCAAAAAAAACACCCTAATAACCTACCAGACAAATAACAATTAACACAAAAACAATACATAAAGTACACATCGTACCACATGATACCGAACAGAAATAAAATTTAACAGAAGGGACGCTGATGGCTATAAAGAATCCAAAATAATAGTAGCAGTAAACATTATTCTGGTCGTTAAAACTTCATTATTACGGTAATTATGTATTTATTTTTTAGTCAAATCCCGTAAAAACGTGCGATGATAAAATTTACCTGTTATCGAAGAAAACAGGTATTTGTAGAGAAGTTGTGACATTTTTTAATTACTCTCTGTCAAATTTTGAAATGCTCTTCATTATTAACATTCATAATTTCACACTATTTCCAAGCATTGTGCATCACTTGTTTGAATACTGATGATCCTTTCCATAACAACCTAAAAAACCGGGTTATTAACGGTGTTACGCCCCCAACCACCACCACCTCTACTACCCCCAAAAAGAAACCATTCAAGCCGTCCAATTTACACCATATGCACAGTCACATGCAGGCTGTATTAGGCGAGGCAGCTAAAATCGTCTTATTTTAACAATGAAGTGACATTTAATTAAATTTCTGCAGGTTTCGATAACAACGGTACCCTAAGTTGTATTCGAAATACATGGATCAGCCAAACATTGAAAAGGCATGCAGACAAAATCCACGTGTTTTTATGAACAGAAGGCACTCAATGCATTTTAAATCATTCTTACTGTCGCAGTAGGCATCAACCTGTGTCAAAGGTTTAATGTTCTTTAACTATACCTATCTAACTTGACAAATTATTCAAGACACACCTTGAAATAAATTGTTGCATTATGTAGCTAAATATAATACAATGATGTATTTTAAAATAACTTGTAACTATAATTAGCATAATTGTATAGGTGTTATTCAGCGTACTTGAAACATTTCTTTTCCATTTTGATGTGCAATTCTTCCTTATTATTTGACTTCAAAATCAAAATTTTCCCCATCTTCTAACATGCACTCATTAATTATTAATACCAAAAGCCCCAACAATATCTAAAACTAGATAGAACATCGTGTACAAGAAATTTTGACGGCACAACCCCCCCCCATAAAACCACTGAGTAACAGGTGTTTTAAAGACTGCATTCAGATGCAAACTATCTTATGACAATATTAGATACTGAACGCCATGTTCTTTTGCATAACATTCTTAAAATACCAGCAGTAGGCATTCAAGGGCAAATACATTTGCAAAAAAAAACAACCCCCCCCCCAAAAAAAAATTAAAAAACCGAAATGATCAAAGGATCACGAAATGTCTAGCTTACTGGATTATTGGGGAATGACAGTCCAAAGCATCCTGTAAATTCGTGGCTCCTGGTTTGCCGGAATTTTCAGGAAAACTTGTATTTAAAAAAATGGCTTATTTTTCCTCATTTTTCATATTCAGTTATTCCGCATTTTCTTTGCAACTGATTACACAATTGTGAAGAGGTACAAGCTAAGCCTGCTAGACTGATTCTTTGATTTTACAATTCTCCCAATTGCTCGGATTCATTTTAAGCGGAGTCAGTGAACCGATTACAAGATCTTTATTTTTTGGTTTTCCAGCATCTCCAAACCCAAAATGTGAAGCAAGTCGGTTTAACAATATTTGCTATAACATAGTAATCCACAAATCCATTTACTTCTGAAAAGTGAAGCAAAAGCAAATGTTGTACATTCCCTTTAATATACTGTACATGTATAAACAGGTTGCAATGGTTGCGATTTCAGCAACTCACTAACAAAAAAGAAGATATTTTCTGTTTACTTGAAAAATTTGTCATAATTAACAGCCTCGTGGGAGTTTGTTTTCAAATTCCATTTAAACACATTTTAAAGAGTGAATCAATAAGAAAAGACCGAATTAAAAAAGTAATAAAACACAAAGTTGTAACGAGTCATTGATTTTTGTGACTCGAGTCGAGTTGGGTCACTTTAAAGAAGTGACTCGAGTCGAGTCGAGTCATTAGGTACAAAGGTCGAGTCGAGTCGAGTCGAATCAAATATTTAGCTCAAGTCAATTCGAGTCACGAATATTTGAACACTATATACCAAAATTTATAAAAGGAAGGCCATAAGTTTAGCTAGTGTTCGAATCCGAGAGCTTTATAAGAAATCGCCTAAAGCCAATGATGAAACAGCGAATTAGAAAATGTGTTTAAAAATTTGCTTCCTGGATAGTATTTTGGGCGTTCTAAAACCATAAGACGGGAGTCTGTGACACGTTGTATAATTATACATGACTGTTCTTTTCAAAGCAAAGTGAGCATAAATTTTGTACCGTAAGTCATTGCAAATACTTTTCGCAAAATGCTTTTATTTTTGGGACTCGAGTCTTATTAGCCTTGGCTCGAGCCGAGTCTTTTGATGAGGGACTTGAGTCGAGTCGAGTCATTTGCTCGCAGTGACTTGAGTCGAATCGAGTCATTTACCCTTAGGGACTCGAGTCGAGTCGAGCCACCAAAAATTGTGACTCGAGTCCGTCTCGAGTCGAGTCATTGACTCGAGTCATTACAACTCTGAAAAAAACCCACATTTTTAGCATCACCAAGTTATTTCATTGTGCCTACTACCTCCTACTGTAAATTAATGCTGAGTCTTGATATGCTGCGTCCTGATATACTGCATCCTGATATGCTGCGTCCTGATATACTACTAACACGTCTTCTCCTTATTCCTGACGTCATCTCTGTCAATGAAATCAATACAAACTGAAGTCAATTTAGATTAAGTGTCATTGAGTGAATATTACTTGCTCTCTAAAATGCACTTTTGTTGAATAATCAGGCAAAGAAAAAAAGCCAATAGATCTGAAGCGCAATGCATTTTATAGAGGGCGCACTTTAATTATTTACTGGTAGTGTATATAAGCGGCCGCGCGCTCAGCCTCGCTCTCTTTCTGTTGTGGCTGTAAACCGAGCGCGGTCTCGTTATGAGGGAGCCTCAAACTTTGCTTGAGTGTAATTGATAAATGATTCCTGCATCATAATCCAGATAATTAGGTAATCTCTGAGGTTATAAGGGAAGTGATTTAGTATAAGATCACGTAGGCGAGGCACCTAGGTAGGCCGAAATGGGAATGAGGAATAAATCCCCAAGGCTAAGGGAAGGCGCAAACCAGTGTCCAGTGTCCCATTCCTTCCTCGAGATATCCCTCGTCCGTCAGCCCAGTGAGTGGAGTGAGTGCGTGATAGGGTGTTGTTTTTGGTAGTCTGCTGCGGGACTGGCGGTAAATCTCCGCCGAAACGGGTCTGCGTACCCGACCGTAGAGGCTAGGACGTTCGCCGCTACTCGCCTGGGCAGTCGTCCGAGGCAGTACCGATACAGTATTATGTGTTATGGCCGATAGTATTATATGTCATGGTCTAGCGGTTGAGATAACCGGGCTCATGCTCTGGTGATTCAGAGGCAACAGTGGCGTGGGTTCGAGCCCGCCGGGTGGAAATTTGTGCCCTTTAGCAAGGCACTTTACCATTATTGCTTCGTCCCGGATGGGACGTATAGCCGTAGGTCCCGTGTGTTGTGTAATGCAATGCACGTAAAAGAACCCAGTAACACTTTTCACTAAGAGAAGGGGTTTGCTTCGGTGTTTTTGGTCTCCTGTTTAAACTCCCAAGTGGAGTATTTAGGAGAAGAACCAACCAAGAATCAAGTACTGAAATGTTTGCAGAGTGTTGTGACAGAGTTTTAAAAAAAAGACAGAGAGGGAAACAAGAGCTGCTTAGGATGAAGTGCCGAAAGAACTAAAAATGTTGAAACTGAGGAAAAGCTAACTAGCAGATTAGACGACACAGAAGCCCCGGTTGCATTGTTGAAGATGATGAACAATCCTGCTTGTCTCTGGATGACACAAATAATAAACATGAATAAAATTCAGGCTGAGCCCTTCACGATTAGAAGCTGGCTTCGTCTGAAGACGACATCAAGACTGGGACTTGAGAAGTTGACCATAATGCTGGAAAGCAATGGTATGGTTGCAATCTATGAGAACCATTAATATAAGGTCAAAGCAAGAACCAGCAAGCATAATAACTGGGAGTCTCACCTCGGAACTGCTGTGCCAGATCAAATCGTTTGGCCTTCCCCAAGGCGTCGGCTAAGATGCTTTCATCCAACCTCCCCCCTCGCTGCCTCCACTCCACAAGCATTGTAAAGATCTGATTAACCACGCAATTTCGCTTGTCTTCTTTAATCCTGAACAGGTTCTCACTAGTGCAGCCTAACTCTGTAGCCAGTGTCTCCCATTCCGGTCCCAATTTCTCGGCAAGCCGACGGAGGCGCTTCTGGTCATCTACTTCAGTCTGACACAAATGATTTATGTTTTAATTAGGTTTTGCATAAATGCGTCAAAAGCAAACCAAGTCACGAACGAATTATTTCTCGATTCTGAATATTTTTTCAAGATTTAAGAGGCCCGACTACAAACAAAAAGGAAATTCATTCACAGCTTTGCACGCCTGGATGAACCACTAAAGTGAATTGCACTGTGATGTACAAAATGTCATTGCAATTGTGATGCTATAGTATTTGGTCAGAAGTATCATTGCTCCCTAAAATCACAAAATGTAAATTTCAGTTTGTTAACAACTTCTTTCTGCCAAAAGAATACTTTCTTCAAAGAGAATGGCTTTTACCAGTTGTTGTGATTTGGAAACTTTGAGGATACGATCACATCTACCTTTTCATTTTTACTTGAGCCATAAAAAAAACTTACACTAATTTGACACGGTATCGATCCGCTGACGTCACTGTTTGAACCAGGTGCAGATCGCAAAGGTATTTCAGAGACGCGTTGGACACTTCCGCTTGCTTCGGTTATTACTCCGGTTTTTTCCATGCCTGAAACAGTTAACAGAGGGATATTTACAGGAGAGCATCAATTTGGCTGAATCCCTACAGATGCTGAAGGAGGAGTTGAGGTTTCTCTTGAATGACGGTAGACTGAATGAATGGATACAAACTATTGACACAATATTTCTCAAGGCTCATATTAATGCTTGCTTTTGGAAGACTTCCAGTGGCAGAAATTTGAGAGGACTTTTTTTGCCTTCCTCCCTTGTTTTGGCAAATCGTGTTAATGAACTCAACATTTGCCAGTCGTACCTGATGGTTGACCCTCTTCCCACGCACGGCGGACTTCATTCCTTACAATATCCACTATTTCACTCGCAAACTTCTCAATCAGATGCTGAACAGCTGGCTTGTCTGAAGTATTATCCGCTCGACAGCCTGCAAAGTAGACTTTGATCGTCTCCTTTGATGGACTTTCTTGACGAGCGATGTCGTTTGACCGAAGACCTTCCCCAAGTAGGTCCCGGGCAAGTTCCGTCCAGTTGTGGCTGTTTATCTCGGTATCTAAGTGTTGGCAAAGTTTCTGAACCAATGCCTCTGAGAAGCCTCCGTAGTCGCCGTCCATTAGTCCGTGCACCCTCCTTGTAATTGCCGTTCTCACCTTTTCCTTGAGAAGGACGGACAAAAACATTCTTAAGGTTCGAATAACAGTCAAGATTTTTTTATACAAGATAATTTCGTTAGTTAATGTTGTATACCTCACAACAGCATTATATGGTTTGTCGGGGCTTGTTTCTCTATACAAAAGTTAATTTTCTGTTACAATTACCTTGCAAATCGAGCAAAGTTCTACAGACGTAACTAACAGAAAAGGAATATCAAAAAGGGCGATTACTTTTAAGCCCCTATACGTCTTGTACCAAATGTAAAATATGAGATATTTTGTTCGCAAATATTAATATTTCCCAGGATACGTTGACCAGCTCAGCCGGACTTAATTATGATTTTAAACAAACATTTATATTTCTTACTTCTGTGCAGGTTTTACTAGCTTCCTTGTGAGACGTTGCAATTTTCCCCTGCAAAATAATTTTCGAAAAAAAGGGGGAAACCTCTTTTAAAGTTTGATTTTTCACACCAAAACGTATCCAAACTGCTGTGATATTATCGAATGTGATATAATAGATTAAGACTGTAGTCGTTGTGTAATTTTTGTCACTCACTTGCTTTGGTCGGATCGACAATCGAATTCTATCTTCAGTCGAAGTTGTGTCGGATTCCGAGATACACTGGTATATGACTCCGTCAGCCCCAGGAAGCAGCTGCATTAGGTCACTCTCTGCACGAGGCAGTTGTCTTCTCATGTCAAAGGTCACAGAGTTCTTTGGGAACCGCCAAACTCTGGACTTGCTTATCTCTTGTTTCTAACAATGGGAAGAAAAAGACAATGAAGTCTCAATCTCTATCTTGGTTTCTTACAGCGTGGTTTCACATTAATGATCATGGAGTGCATACTATTATCGTTCACGGATGTGAAAGCGTTCCTGATGCTATGATGTTGAAAAGTATCGAAAAAGCTGTATGTTTGGATGTCAAAAGTGTTTCTATACTCGAATGATTCACAAGCTTTAAAACAAAATGGTTGGGCCTCATTACTCTTGCCCCAATGCCTGTATGACAGCTTTGATTTCTTGCGTGCAAACATCTGCTTGAAAGAGGAATGGCAAAACATCACTCCCTTCATCCGATTCATCTTTAAGAGAGCAATACCTGTGATGTATTCTCCTCCAATTCCCAGCCTGTCTTGAGGTTCTCAAGCGCAACGATCACACCTCCGTGACTGTGATGGACTAACATGTCTCTGTAAACATCCAACGGCTTGGATTCAAGTTCCTTCTCCATATCCAAAACTTTCTGAAAAGGGATAGTAGCAAACGACACGCAGCAGTTGTAAACGCAGAGAGTCATTTGGGAGTGACAGGATCAACGTAATCTACCAAATACGGTTTCTACCTACTTTGATATGACTTGTTTATGGCTGCATCTGATCGAGAATTTTGTTCTTTAAAAACGACACAAAAATGCCCTAAAAGTTCTTTTTCCGAAAGACATTTATTTAAGTGAAATTTCAGAGAATAACAGTCAAACACAGAAAATATAAATTGAAAAAGTAGTAATTTATAACAATAGCGAGTATTTCTTCACTGAGAAACAGCGGTTTTAGATTAAACACGGATGGTATAGAACCGCCGGTGTTAAACTTTAACAGCAGTGTTCCTATATCAGAAACTATCGGCGTTACCTGTACAGGTTTAGGTGTGTGGAGATAATATATTGTCATATTACCTGCTTAGCAACCGGGTCATCGTCCCAAGCGTGGATTCGCACGGCATACGAAGTATCAGATTCGGTACATGACCCTCCGAACGCGCCAACGTGCACCATTTTACTGCTGGTAGAGGACGGCTCGCCCACTAGAGCTGCTCCGGTAAAATGCTTCATCAGGAGAACGACCTTCTTGTTTTCAGTTGACACCACGATGCCATCTTCCTCGCCGTCGAGCGGATGCCAGGCCTTGTACGCCGCATCTTCGTCGCTGCAGATCTTGGTGTAAAGCATCCAACTGGAGTTCTCGCTAGCGTGATGCGGGAACTGCAGCACCACGCTGTCTAAAAACTTCAGACCTGGCGGGCCGCACTGGATCACGGGTGAGAGAGCAACCTGCGGAGGATGGATCCCGTCCACAGGTGGCGCATTGGGGTTGACATAGATGTACACCTGCTGTAGTGATTTTTTGGGAAGTGCGCCACGAGGGATGTACATGTGGACATTGTACTTGCCCAAGGACAGGCTTCCACCATCATGGTCGAAGTAACCGATTGCAATATACGGCAACTGAAAGGTGTTATCCATCAGTGTGTCTTCGCTGCATTCTTTGGCGAAGTTGTCGTGTTCGTCAAGGATCCTTTTTAGGAGTGTTGGCGGAGCGGAAGAGCTGCCTGTAAAAACAAAATCAGGATGAAAGTTTCACTTTAAAAAGTTGGTTAAACTCATTGCAAACCAACACGAAACTTGGAATGGGTGATTAATTGGGCTTTATTCATAAGTTTAATAGCATAAATTTTTGCTGCCAACGTCGTGTAAGATCCGAGAGCCTAAACTTAGATATTGAGAGAGAGAATCACAAACTGTTTTGTGGCTGTCATGACTTCTGACTGAGGGGTGACCTTTTGCCTTTATTGTAGATCAGTATGGAGCGCCTTAGGTGACAAACTTGGATGAATACTACATCCCTTTCCTCCTTGAATAAAAGTTGTGCTCGTGTAAAAATGGAATTTGGCGAATTTAAAGATGATGATTGAATAAAACAATGTCCAAATAAATTCTGAAATGTTTGAGTGTCGTTATTTTGACGTCTGTAGAGTATGCCTTATTTTCAGAATTAATGTTAACCAGATTACACTTTTAGCAGCCATTTTTAACTTAAGTTAACAACAATAAACAAAAACAAAATATGAGTATACATTTTCTCCGGTTTGGTACAAAACATGCAGGTGTCTATCTACAATCTTTAAGTGGCAAAGTCCTTGAGGTGTTCAGGTGGACGGCAGTTTTGTGGGGATTCCTGCGTGGTGCTGGTGCATGGATGGGGGTATGTGTGGTGGTGACCATGTCGTCGATGTCAGAATCTTCCTGCTGGGGTGGTGCTCTGTTTTGGATGCGTTTGTATCTCGAAATGTTGCGTGTGACTGTGTGAGAGCCGTGCTGAGCTGTCACCATCGATCCCTTCTTAGCAGTGACTGTGTAGGGGTGTCTGTGGGATTGTACGGCTTTGGCCTGGGACTTATGTGGGGTTTCATGGAGACGGGTGCGGAGTGGCCTGCCAAAGAGGAGTGTAGCAGGTGCAACTCCTGTTGTAGCATGGGGTGTTGCGCGGAGATGTTCTCCTGTTGGGAGATCACAAAAATCGATGCTGACTTCCAGCCATGGGCTGTCTGGGAGTGAAGACATGTTAAGCGGAGTCCTGGTGTCGTCAGGCGTAGTCAGCTGGCATGTAAGGCAGTCGCGAATTGTTTTTCGACGAGGGTGTCCATGCTGGGAAACCATACTTTTTCGCGAAGTAACTGTTTAGTCCTTGTCATGCTTTGGTGTCCCTCATGGGCAATGTCGACGATGCGTTGTGCGAGTGCCTGTGGAATCACGATGCGGTCTCCACGGAGCAGCAGATCGCGATCGGTTGTGGCTGTGAGTTCACCGCGTACCTTGTGTAGGCTCTTAAGTGTGGCAAGAGTCTGTTGGTTGTGGGGGTTCTTCAGGAGCGTGTCACAGATATGAGTGGTGAGCGCATCAATGGCTGACTGACGAACTGGGTCTTCGCGAGTGGCGGTGCGGATTGTGTTAAAAGTGACAGACTTGGGTACAGCGTTTGCGGATATGAAGCTGACGTGTTCTTCCGCAAGGCGTTGTTCTCTGCTGGTGGTTTGCGGATGTTCGTGGGGGTGTCGCGACATGTAGTCGGCAGGGTTCAACTTTCCCTGCTAATACTTGACGGTGAAGTTGTACTCTTGCAACTTTAGCAACCAGCGTTCAATGCGGGTCGGTGCGTTACTGTGCGGGTTGTTGAACATTGGGACCAACGGTTTGTGATCCGTGATGACGACGAAGTTGCTGCCATAGAGATACAGGTGGAAGTGAAATATCGCCCATGTGATAGCTAGGGCCTCACGTTCCGTTTGGGAATATCTCTGTTCGACTGGTGTCAGTGATCTGCTCGTGAGAGCAACGATCAACAGTTCGTCCTTGTCATTGCGTTGGGCGAGGATATCAGCTAGGCCAACTGGGCTGGCATCAACTACGAGTTCAGTTTTTTTGCTAGGATCGTAGTATGCCATTGTACAGCAATGTGCGACTCGTTCGTGGATTTGGCAGAGTGCTTGCTGATGTTCGGGTCCCCATTGCCAGGGTGTGTCTTTCTTTGTCAACTCGCGCAAGGGTGCGGAAACCGTGGCAAGGTCAGGTATGAACCGGCTACAGTACGTGACCATTCCAAGGAAGCTGCGTACTTCGCTTGCGTTGGTAGGGTCAGACACATTTTGGATTGCATCTACTTTCCTCTTGTCGGGGGAGATGCCGGTGGAGCTGAATACATGTCCGAAGTATTCAACGCGTGATTTGCCGAAGCGACACTTGTCCTTGTTCAGAGTCAGGTTACATTCGCGAAGGCGTTGCAGACTGGCTGCGAGGCGTGCGTCGTGTTCCTGTTGTGTGCAGCCAAACACTAAGATGTCATCGCTGATGCCGAGTGTGACTGCGAGGCCGCGGAGCGCAGAGGAGATGGCGTTCTGGAAAACTTCGGCTGCAGAGCAAACACCGAAGTTTAAACGCTTGTAACGGAATAGGCCTTTGTGTGTTGAAAACACAGTCAGATGGCGAGACTCGGGGGCTAGCTCTACTTGATGGTAACCCGCGTTTAGGTCAAGTTTACCGAAGACGGTGGATCCGTTGACCTGGGCAAGGATGTCGTCGATGGTCGGTGTAATGTGACGCTCGCGCTTGATGGCGGTGTTAACATTTCGCATATCCACACACGTAGAGTAGATGACGTAGAGAGCGGACGCTGTTTGGAAGCTGATCAGTGTGTCCCCAGTTGTTTTGATGACAAAGAACGTGGAGTGCATGTGCGAGGTTTTGTAGGCAACGGTGGTGTTGAATGTGCCCACAATCTCTAGGGGTGTTGTACTGCCATACGCGAACACTTTTGCTGCTGCGTCCTTACACAGTGGTGGGTTGGAGGACAGTTTGTTGTACACGGCCAGGCACATCACGTTAACCGAGGCTCCTGTGTCAATGATGGCTGGCAATTGCGTTGTTTGGTCGACAGTTATGGTCACAACTGGGTGTTTGGAGTTCGGTGTTGATGATAAACCGAACACATAGTCATCATCAGAGCTGCTTGAGCTGACAGTGTGGTCAACGGCGTGCACTTTTGCTTTGTTGTGCTGTGGCTTGTGTGACATTCCACGACTGAGACAATGTTTGGCGAAGTGATTGAGTTTGCCACACGAGTGGCACGTCACACCTTTGGCTGGGCATTGTTGCTTGTGAGGAAATGTACTTCCGCAGTTCCGACAGGGTACAGAGTGTCTGGGTTTTGGGGCATGTGGAGCCTTGCTCGACTCGCGATTTCGCGTGTGGGACTTCGTAGTAGTCGCGCGGTTGGTTGTGTCGCGGCTTGGTTGTGTGTGTTGTTCCAAGCCCTTGGCTTGCACCTCAGACAGTTCGTAAGTTCTAGCAGTCGTTAGAAGCTTTACGAGGGTTAGCTCAGATTCACGGAGGGCATAGCGTCTCAACTTTGACGATTTACAGCCATGGATAATCTGAGATTTCACTTCGGTGTCCTTGTCGTGGAACTCACAGGTTTTGGCTAGCTGTTGGAGGCGGTTTGCATAGTCTGCGACAGTTTCATTGTCCAACTGTTTGGCCTCACGAAAGACAAATCGCTCATATTAGATGTTCTTGCGAGGCTCAAAGTACTTGGTGATTGCATCTTTGAATGCAACAAACAGATTCTCCAGCCTGTTGACATATTTCCGCCACCGTACGCCGGCAGAGGAAGGCTCTACAAGAGGTTAGAAGGCTGGAAAGGACGGCAGGTTTGTAGCGGACATTTTGATTGCAAAGGTTCGGCGATGATGCGTACGGTAAACAATGTCCGGCAGCGAGTACTACACGTACACGATGCGTTGTGTGTATAGCCAATGCCACGGTACATGTACACGTGCGGTATGTGTACACGAAAACGTTTCACTAACTCTGATTTTCCACGCGGAAATGCACAGTCTTGTTCTCGAAATCGGCGGTCAAAACCAACTTTACGGTGTTGCTGGGTTCCTCGGCGTTGCTGAAGATCCCGTGCTCGTCGCCAATTGTAAGGTTGGCGACGAGCCTAAACTTAGATATTGAGAGAGAGAATCACACACTGTTTTGTGGCTGTCATGACTTCCGACTGAGGGGTGACCTTTTGCCTTTATTGTTGATCAGTATGGAGCGCCTTAGGTGACAAACTTGGATTAATGAATACTACACGTTGCACCAAGTAGTTTGAGCGAGGTAGCTAGGGGGGGGGGAGGGAAACATCCTTAAATCGTCGCCCGCCCCCAGGTCGCACCACATGAAATTATGCAATCGGAGAAAGTCATGTAGCCATTATTAGTGGAATTAACAAAACGTGACAAGTGGCAAGTGCTAATATCTTAGTTTTAAACAGTAATTGAGCTTTGGTCACTATTATCCCAATATGGTTTATTTCTACCCACCTTGGCAATTACTTGCTCCGCCAGGAGCGGGCTGTAACACTGGTGATATCTCCACTGGAGGAATTTTACAGCTGGCTTCCTGAAGTAGTTGTACAGACAAAAAATGAGTAGGCCTATACGTTTGCTGGTGTTGTATTCGAGAATCCAAAATTATATGATTAATTAACAAAGAAGGTATGCATCAGCAAATGTAGGCCTGAATTAAATCGGCAACTTCTGTACAGCAGTATAGTAAAGCACATTCTCAATGAAAAGCGTTAGAAAAAGTGGATACTCTGGAACTAGTGTTTTGAAATATGTAAACTTTCAGCTAAAAAAGCTATTTCAGTTCGGCACAAAAGAAATAGAAAAACCAAAAAATTGTCTGCATTTCAGCATCGATTTGCTGATGACTCTTCCCCCGCAAAAGTTCTTGGACCTGCCCCTGTACACTTCTTAATTAATTACTCAAATAACTGACAATTGTTTGGGGCCGTAACCCCTATGATCTGCCATTGCCGCTTCATAGTGGAACATTGTCATTAATGCATCGTTTCAAAGGACTGAGTTATGGGAAATATTTGCCATGCATAAACAACCCACATTCACTGACCCGTAAAAAGTACTAACCGTGTCATTCCAAAAAAGAGGAAGACTCTGATGCCCTCAGGGATCATATAGACCTAACGCTATGAGAAAATATCCGCCAATTGTGGCGAAAACGTGAACCAAAATTGCGAACACCAAAGATACAAAATATAGCGAACTTATACACTTACCATTTTTGATGACATAATCTTTTGAAAAGTACCATGCAATGAAATAAAACAAAATTTAAATAACATTAATTGAAACGGCATTGTGATACAATCATGTGTCGAATAAAACAACTATGCTGGGAACAAGTAGCATGGTTTTACTTTGAACGGAATAGAAATGGAATTTTGACTCAACTAGTTAGCTTCCTGAGCCACTTCGTGTGACGAGAAAACAACTTTAGAATTAATGCGAATTGCAGACTTACCCGGATAGGCGAAATCGACTCATTAATCTGTATGGAATGAGAATAGATGAGAGAATGACATTCATTGAATCAACATACCAAATCAATCGCGTTCCAAAATACAGCAACATCGAGAAGGAAACATGTCATGGGATTAAATAATTGTTTGATCCGTAGACTTTTATTGGAACGGAATTCTAACTAAATCAGACGTTGCGTGGAATTTGGCTTGTAGTAACGTAACTATAAGGGGTAGGAAATTATATGCAAGAACATAGTCTAAGATAAAGGACTTCAATTATGCACTTACATAACGTATCATACATAACGTATCATGGCCCATGATGACATTATCGTGACGTTTCGCCAACTTTTGTCGTCGGTAACCATTCCCTGTCTGTGTATTACCAAGTCTCCACCCAAAGGACTAATAGTTAATACATACATCGGGTGCTGACGTCATCATGACGTCACACACTTTTAAAATTGTGTGCATACATTTATAACCTTACAAACCTAAAACGAAATGAACTTTGAATTGAGCATGTTGGGGATGAGACATAAAAACTATTGTGATAAACTTAAACGCTTAAAAAAATATATGAAATTACATGGTAATGACATTATGAAGTCACTTCACTTTGTTTGTATAACACATTCCAGTTTAATCAAATCAGAGCTACAGTTCTGTAGATATGGGAAATTAAAGTGGCGACCAACGGTAACTAACGGAGATCTCTGGTCGACCAATCAGCCATGCTTCTGCCTCCTAGGCGACCCTTGAGTCACAAGGGAGGCAAAAGCATCGCCCAGATTGACGGTAAAATATGCAACAGAACAGATCTATTACGTGGCGACCATCGGTTGACCATTATGCATCCATTCTGCAACCACGGCAATGCTTGTGCCTCCCGTCTGCCTCATATTTTGAGCCACCTTTGAGCAACCAACCTCCTCGGTGACCTTTGTGCGACTGTTTTGAACATGTTCAAAAATTTACGGCGACCATGGCGTCCATGGCGTCCATGACGATGTCTGAACATCCTGTGTACCACCTTTGAACGACCTATAGGCAACCATTCGACCTCCGACAGTGACCTGGAAAGTTTTATGGTCGCGCAAGGGAGGCCCAAATATCGCAGCTCTTTGTAAAGGGGATCAAACTGTTTCATATATCAGGACCAATTTGCAGCCCTAGCATATAATTCAACACTAGGATTTATAGCAAGCCAACATTTCCAGGTATACAGAAGCTTCCCAAATTACTGCTGCGTGGTGTTAGAATATACTTATCCGCCAAATACTTTTCAAACGTCACATTGAATAGATAAGCAAACGTCAGTACACAAAAGGATATAAAAAGGAAATGAGATATACACTTACAATTTCTAATTCAATGGCCGCCTGTATGAATTAAAACAAAAGAGAGAATGACTTGTTAGACGATATTCTCCAAGTAAAATGAGTAAACAGAAACATCGAGACAATCTCGCCCATTTTGAAGCTATGGCATGAGCTTCTACATGTCACTTGGTGGTCAGTCGGACGGTCGGTCTGTCTGTCAATCTATCTGTTCTCACCACACCCTACTTGTCGGGTGATGTTCCTTTCAGGACACATCACCCCACTATTTTAACAATAGAAAAACATCACCCCAGAAGAGAATCATTAGAAAAAGGGACAATGGGAACACAATGCTATCACCCCACAATTCGGTTTGGCCGGAGTGTCTGTGTGTCCCCAAAAACTTAAGCATTTTTACCAAAGATCAATAGAATGCCATGCATTTGTCAGTAAATGCACTTTTGACGAAGGTTTTCGGAAACGGGCTTTGTCTCGATCGATGCGCATGCATATGTATGTCCCCGGAAATGTTACCAAAAACGAGCCCCCTAAATTTCCCATAAAATATAACTCCAGCAAACTTCAATTTAATGTATCTACTAACAAAGTAAGCAAAAAAAAAAAAATGAAACACTTCACAAACTATTTTGTTTGAAAGAATTCGTAAACTTGTTTGTGAGAACTTTATAAAAGAAGGCAGCATAATGGGCAGTAGGCCTAATGCTACAGTCACGTGCTATTATTATAAGTTATATGACTGACATACAGATCCAAGTCATTTGATTGGTGGAACTCACATCACGTGACATTCGTTATTGCTCCCATTCACGCTGCGGCTCAAAAAGTATTATCCGCCCATGGGGAATGGAAAATACTTTCCAACAGTTAGGATCATGACTTGTAATTTGTGTGCAAAGGCATGCTGGTGTGCGCGTTCGACGTTTCGCGTAGCGCGTATTGTTCCAAAGAGCCAACGCTATACAGCGTTGGGTTCAAACATTTTCGTGAAGGGGTGGTTTGGAAGAAAGAAATACATTTTCCTCCAATTTTGTGTTGAAAAAAAGTTCGAATATATCATATGACAAGGATCTTTTATGTTAGTTATATAAAGCAAATATTGAGTGGCTTTCAATTGCGAAATGGGAGGAATATTATCGCTTGGTCAAATCTGGACTTTTTTAGTTCACTCGGCTTCGCCTCGTGAAATGAAAAAGTCCAGATTTTACCTTATAATAACATTCCTACCATTCTTCGATGAGCCACTCAATATTTGTATAATGTAGCACGGCTTGTTGTCATCGATCGACCAATCAGGATCGAGGATTCAAGTTTACTTGAAGATAAAGTGCGCTATTTATATGGGAAACTTAGAGGCTGAATTTGGTCAATTTTCAGCGCGTGGAACGGTGGCCCGGGCTTGTACGCACACTCGTTTCACGCAAAAACTTTCATGCAAGGCGGCTCAAGTTTATTGTGCACTCGCGCTTGTTATTTGAAAATCATTTTCAAAAAGGTGGGAGTGAAAACCATGAAACGTCTCCTCACAGACAACACTGACACTCCCGGCACTTTGAACACTGACAAGTTCCAGTGGGCCATGCTCCAGTACCACAATACCCCTGATCGTGACACACACACCTCTACCCTGCCACGTGCATATTTGGACGGCCCATAAAAGACTTCATCCCCATCCATCCGTGCAAGTACCAGTCCCACACAACATGGCGGGAGACCCTTCTCTCTCGGGAGGAGGCACGGCACAACAGTCACATGCCTGCTGCTTAGCGCCTCATCGAGCCTACCCAAACCCTTCCCCGCTGATAATCTGGGACTGTGTCCGAATCCAGAACCAGACCGGCCCCAACCCCATCAAGTGGGACAAGACTGGCAATGTGGTAGAGGTGCATCAGTTTAACCAGTATGTGGCGAGAGTGGACGGCTCTGGACGAGCCACACTTCGCAACAGGAAATTCATGCGTAAGTACCTGCCTGTCATACCTCGTGCATCATTGGCCATTGCACCTGGTCAGACGACAGCTTTGGTCCCACCAGCCCGGATGGCAAGGCCTGCACCAACGCCCTCTCCCACACCTCAGCCGTTCTACATCGATTCTCCCACCACCAAGGAGGGCTCACCAGGTGCAGCAACGACACCACCAGCCACCCCGACACCACCTCCAACAACCACTTAACCACAGCCATTCCAGATCCAACGGACACCGTCCCCATTCCACGAGCTCTACGGACATAATGCCGAACAATGCCCCAGGCCTGGAGGAGCAACCTATCACCACCATGGAGCCTCAGCCTGCAGCCTCCTCTCATTCCACCATCCCTACCACGCGTCGCTCAACTCAACATATCAAACCACCAACATGGTTGAACAATGGGGACTTTGTCAAAAACTAACTTCCCTATTCTTCGTCACTCCCCTCCAAAGACTTGGGAGGGCATAGAGAACTGTGACTTTATCATTTATATATTAACGTTTACCTAATGGTAATACTTTGTATCTTGTTCGTTGCCGACGCTGTTGTCGACATTGCTTAAGAACGAATAACCACCGCTGGAAAGCAAATAGCGTTATACTTATTTACAAAGCAATTCCAGAGAAACTTGTTATAAACCGTACTGTATTAAAGAATTTATGTACAGTGAATAACCCCATGAATTTAATATCAATATCATGCTTACTTACGGGCGAGGGTGTAGCCACTTCTTCAACATAATCATCATTAGGAGATTCGTGATCTGTCTGTTGGTTGTAAGGATACAGATATCGCTTTGTCACAAGCAACACAGTGAATACTTAACGTCCCTTATAGCATAAACTAAAAAACAAATCGTTAGAACAATTTACTCTATTATTAACGCTAGTTAATCACGTCAGACATTCAAATGTTAGCAGTCCACCTCATTGGTGAAATGGCTATTCTGTAACTTCAGACATGATAAGGAAAAGCATAATCTACATATATAGGTTTAATATTTAAACACAATAAACTCTTGAAGGGCAAGAATATGTCATTTCAATAAAATCTAAGTTTCCCTAAACATTGACTCCAATTTTTCTTAGACTTACGGAGGAAATGTGAAGAGAAGCTCCGTTCTCGAGCTGTTGATTAGAAGGTACAAGAGATCGCTATTTTATCAGCAATACTTTATAGGGTGTCCCCATATACCGACATCAGCATATTCAGATAACTCCATTATATACTAACACTACTCTGTCATGAATGTGTACTGGACGCAGGAAATATCACTGGCAACATCAATAACACTCTAAATATAAAATAGTGATAAACCACTGTCCCTAATTAAGGCTCTATGCATGACTCACTGACTTTTTGTACAGTTGGTTTTACTTCAGACCGTAGCTATACAAAGTGAAAAACCACTGAAAAAGTTGCAAACTTCATACTAAAGGAGTGAAAAAAAAACATAGGAAAATATTTGTCCCCCATGTGTCTCTTTGGTATTTTTCCTCACTATTTCACATATAGAGAGTAAGGGATTATTTGTCAACGTATAAGTTAAGAAGGATTTTTCTAGTGATAGGAACGCCTAGGCCTATTTTAGAACTATTTTTTAATGCTGGGAAAAATATTAAAATGATTTAATTTTTCGTTGATTCCAATCCATCATGCAGGACCCAATGGCTATTATTGTGTCAAAAATACTCACACAATTACAAATACTTCTTAATCAATTCTTATTTTCATATGCGATTTGAAGGTTTGCATGTTGAAGGGTGATAATAAGGTAAGTTTTTGCGGTAGCACCATGTGGCAAAATCTCTGAGATTTTAAGTATGTGTGGTTCTGAAAAGAACCGGAGGATACATAACGTTTCGGACAGTATGCTCTGCCCGTCGTTAGGAGACCTGAGGGTCGAACACCCTCACCCGCGTATACTACAAAACACAAACCTCTGGTTGGTGTTTTATAATCTTTTTTTCTTAAAACACCAGCGACAAAGATGACGTTGGAAAAAAATATAAACATTAATTTTTAGGTTCAGTAACCCTTAGGTTTCGGAAAAATGTATAGTTCAGCTAATCTCAAAGCAATTCCAGCGAAACTTGATTTAAGTACATCACGAACCGCACTATAAATGAATTTTTGTACAGTGAATTACCACATGAAGTTAGTGTCAATATCAAGCTTAGTTACAGGCAAAGGTGTAGCCACTTCCTCAACATAACCATCATTAGGAGATTCATGATCTGTCTGTTGGTTGTACTAAATGATAAAGACATCGTTTTAATTATTTACGTACTTCAGACATGATGTAGGAAAAACTTAATCTGCGTGCACATGGCTTCATCTTCAAATAACCCCACCCCCCCCCAAAAAAAAATCTCCTAAGGGTAACAATATGTCATTTCAACACAATCTAACTTTCCTTAAACATTGACAACGATTGTTTTCTTACAGAAAAAATGCAAAGAGAAGCTCTAACCTTGACCTGTTGATGAGAATATGAAAGAAATCGCTGTATTATAAAAAAATACTTTTATTCTTCTGTCTCTCTATATTTTCATTGGCCTAGAACGATCATGTGTTAAATTTATAAAAAAAAGTCTTAGCACACCCCTGTGGGATATCACGTAAGTTTAATCCCACAGGGAGTGTGCTATGACTTTGCACATACGAAACGCTTGTATCGTTGGAACCCACGTTA